GAAATGCCTCCAAGAAAGTTTTTCCCACTCTCAAAAGCTGACCCCCTTAACAGCAGAAACGAGCCCGAGCATGTGCCAGGAGTTTAATCCGAGTTAGGGTAGGAGTTAAAACGCGAAACGCAACCGCTGGGGGGGCTCTAATACCGTATACTAACGGGCTCTCAGATGCAGGATTCGCAAACTGCATAAAGAGCACGCGCTCGAGCAGTGGTTCGATTATGTACTATCGGGGTTTCCCAATCTGTTGGAGACGCAATATCCAAACCGCGCGTGCGTATTCAACTGCAGAGTCAGAGTATATAGCCGCGTCGGACACTATTGTCATGAGCGAGCTGCATGATTTTGCAGATTTCTTCAATCCCTTACCCACTCAACTAGTGGAAACGCGGTTTGGTATATCGCCATCCCTCGACGATGCCACATTGTGGATAGACAACCAGTCTGCAATCTCGACAGCAAAGAGGGAAGATGCGAAGCCTAAGAGTAGACACTATGCGCCACGTTATTTAAGAGTTAGAGACGCAGCTGAGAAAGTCGTTTTCTGTCCTACTCACCTGATGAAAGCTGATGGACTAACGAAACTTTCATGCTCATCCACTCAACGCAGATTATTACTACATCACATAGAGAATCCAGTAATTAGCCATAACCATGTTGAAGATGATAGCGACTCGGAAGACGAAGATAATGAGTCTGGTTCAAGTTCTGCTTCTTTGGCGGTGCTTACCTATTCTATCTTCTTAGGGTGTTAGGTCGTTGGTCAAAGGTGATGTCAGTGGCTATAAAACGAATCGTGATGGTTCTGGGTCGGAGCAGGTAACGCCAGACCGTTTGTGACTTTCGTCATTTCCTCACCTAGCGATTGAGGAGGGGCGTTGGTCAATGGTCATTACTGGCTCAAGATCCAACGAATGAACCTGATTTCAATGCCAAATGACTGCCCTCACTCGTCACCTTGATCATGATCAACGCCGTTCCTTGTCTTGAACTCATGCTAGTTCCTCGCATGATCATCATTTGAACTCAATGAGCTCCAACATGAACTAGCAGCAAGATCTCCCAGATCTTTAGCTGCACTATGACCCTTCATGATATCCCAATGACATTGAACCCATTTTGATACCATTTCAGGGCCTTAAAGTTAAACAGTCAGTGATCATTCGGCGCGTCCGTTCTGATCGTCTTTCTGTTACATTGCAACGATAATCATTCCATTTACTCTCAAGAGCCTCATAGTGCGCTTGGACGTGTTCGGGTGTTCCAACATTTTCCAAGTAAAAGTATTTTGTTTATTCGTGTTGAATGATGCTTCCGATGTTCATCTTCGTGTTGTGTGTTCACATCTATTTAGTAGCACCGATCATCCCTTTGGAGGTTCCTTCTCTGTTTTTCTGCTCTTCGAGAGAATGCTGAGGAGAAAGCGACACGCCATGACCGTTCTTAGGGGTATCCGTAGTGGGCAAGGTCTCGATGAAAGAGTCCACGTCTGCTGCTCTAGCTCTAGGACTAGAATAGGACGCCTGTGAGCTGTGCCTGTCGGCACCGAACTCGAACCAGACATCCCCGGGAGCCACGCCAAAAGTTGCTTGCGGAACCTGGAAAATGACCATAAAGCAGAATTGGAAACTCACCAGCATCTTTATTTTCTTTGTCACGAGCACGACGGTTATTATGATTATCAATCTTAATAAACCTTTTTGTGGAGCCTATTCATTGTATAAAAGTACCGTGCGCTCAGGGGGAGGCGTCACCGTCGGAAGCTCCCACCGTGTGCCCATAGCCTGGAAAATGACCATAGAACAGTATTGGGTAAACTTCTAGTCAGTCGAAATATTATATATTGGTAAAAGTAGATCTTTAATCCCTTTTCTCAACAATTAGAGTTGCTACTTTCTAAATATCGAGCGTCGTGAGTCGTTTTTGTGATGGAGCTTGTCTGATGGATCTTGACGTCTTCACCGAAGAATCAGATTTAATAGTAGAACCCTCTGCCCCTCCGGGCCACTGCTCATCTTGAGCACGCCTTCCCATGCAGGTGCCTCCGTTCCTGGCTCCTGTGGCGGGTAGGTCAACTCAATCATAGCAGCGCCGTCCCCCTCGTCGAGATACATTTTGGTAAAAGTAGCTTCAAATTGACGTTTTTTGATCCTCAAGGTCAAAGGCTCCGCGAAGCCCATGCTTTGTCCAACATCAAGGACCCGAACCTCCGCTCTCACGCTTTCATCGGTCTTCGACAGCCTCTTACCGGTGACTCGAAATTCCTGTTGTTCAGGCACGAACTCGCAGTGGTGGATCAGCATCATGTAATCGCGTAACATCGAGAAGAAATCGGTCTCAATCTTGGCGGAAGCGACACTGTCTCCATTTGCATACACGTCAAACAGTGATGGAGTTTGTTCTAACTGTTCTTGTTCAGGTTCGCCTTCTTCGATATCAGATGAAGTGGTCCTGTATGAACGGCCAAATTACAAAAGGCCTCAAAGAGGATCCTGCTTCGTTCGAAAAAATTCAAACAGCGTTCGAAATAAGGAAGAAACTTTTTCGAACGAAGCAGGGTTTTCTTTGAAGCCTTTTGCAATTTGTCCGTTCATATGATCTTGGAGAAGACAAAGCCCTGAAGGTGCGAGGCAGCGGAGGAACTCCCACTTCTGGAGAGCAATAAATCGGAGTTCTTCAATTTATTTCTACTTCTTCTAGTATGATCCTCCCTTGTCGATTCTGCTAAACGAGGATCATCGCTGGTCGCACCATACGCAATTTCCCTGGTTGCCATGGCCACTTCTGCTGCGTCGCAAGGTACTCCACTGAACAGCAGCTTCCTTGTTGGACTCGGATTCATACCACGAGTGGACGAGAGAGAATTGGAAAAGTCGTCCTTATATGCCAAGAACATGTCCTTGTTCTTGGAAGACGTAGAATCGGCTGCAACTTCTACTGTGATAGAAGCGATTGTCGTGGACTCTTGGCGTTCAGTTTGTTCTTTTTGTTCAAGGCCTCGAGCTAGAAGCGTCCACCTGTTAGTTTTTTTTACTTGCTCACCTAGAAGAAGTTCACCAACTGGCACACGTCCATCAGCGGCTCCAGGAGGCTTGTCCTTACCGTCCGACGACGACGAAGCCTCATCCTCAAGCGCATGGGCATGGTCGTAGAAATCAACACGAAGAGCAGATGCGGTAGTATCCAGCAGCTTGCACCTGTTGTCGTGGGGTTCCTCTCCCTCTTTTGCTCTCGTCCTTTGTTCCAGATATTGCTTCAGATTGTCCAGCAGGCGCGCTCCAGCCTCCTCCCTCTGCTTCTCAGTGGCGACGTTCTTGCTGAGTTGTTCTCCTAGAAGACTCGCCTCGTCTTGATTTAGCGAAGGCGTAGACGATGTACTACGAGGTGGAAGAGGAAGAGTGGCAAGAAAGAGAAGTTCGTCGAGAGCCGCCTGCGCTCGCAAGAACGGCACATCTTTTGAGCTAACAGCATTTGCATCTATCGCCCGATCTCCGTAGTCCCGCTCCGCTCCTGACACGAGTTCCTTCACGGCCATTTGTATATCGTCTCGGGTACACCACTTAGAAGCGTGCAGGACCTCACCTGTCCACGAATAAGGTGCGCGACTTGGTCCGTCACCGTCAACTAGACCTCCCTCCGGAAGATTCAAAAATAAACTATCTTTATTTTTTTGAAGTAGAACTCGCATTCTGAACGCATCTTCCTGTTGTTGTTCACGACTGGTTCCACCTTTTTGTTCTTCTTCTCCTACTTGTTCTTCGGGATATTCCAAATACACGGAGAATTCGGGCACACGCGGAGGCACGATCCTAAAAAAAATCGGTGGGTCTACAAGTACATCCTCCCTGCGTCGGTCACGGACCCGAACCGAAGCTGCGATGCCGTAGTCCTCCATCGTAGCAGTGGCGATCCAGTCCTGTCGAGAATCGACAAGTTCGCACTGGTGCAGTTGTAACATGTAGTCTTTTAAATGGGACAAGAAGTTACTCTTTGTCTTTGCGACTTCGTGTCTAGAATGAGGTTCGTGTATCTTTCTCACGACTTCAAATGATCTCTGTGCATACTCCTGCCAGCTGTTCTCGTTGACTGCTGATGTGAACAAGGTGGAGAAAAACGCCTGTAGCGCCGAGGAAGGAGTCTGAATATCCGAAAGTTCTGTTGTTTTCCCAGTAATCAAATCGGAGACGATTCGTTTATTTTTTCGTGATGTGAACTCCCGTTTTCTTTGTTCAGATGCTGCACTAGAAGAAGGTACTTCTCCACCAGCATCAAGTCGTGCGTACGCAATGTCCGCGGTTGCCTGGGCCACTTCTTCTGCATCGCAAGGCACACCGAACTCTCTCGCCCTAGTGGAAGAAGAAGGACTGGGGTGCTTTCCATCATGTTCCTCACCATTGTTCTCAGTATATGTAAAAATGTACTTCGTCGAAGATGTAAAGCCGCCTGGTAAAGATTTCACGGCATCCTCAGCACGAGCTCTGTGATTCTTCTGTTCTGGTACACGTATATCTACTGTGATAGAAGGAGCGATCGTCTTCGTAACGGTGCCGGTAGCTTGTGGTGTACTAGTTTGTGTTTGCGGGTCTACTAGAACAAGTTCACCAACTCGAATATGTCCATCAACGGGGCCAGACGGGTCGACGCTGTTGCTGCCTCCACCGTGAGGCTCCACGATGTCCTCGCGGAACTCAAACTGGAGAGCTCCATCATCCAGGTTGCATTTGAGCAGGTCATCGGTGTCCTCGTCCTTCACGAGTTCTAAAGATAAAGCTCTCTGGGGCTGGGGAGCGCCTTCCATAGCGCTTTGTGCGACATCCTTAGCGGCAACAACTCTCCTCTCTTGTTTCAGATATTCTTCCAGCTCGCGAACCAGCTTGCTTTGAGCATCCTTCTTGATCTTGTCGAAATTGACATCGCCGAGTTGAGCTAGAGTATCCTTTTCGTCATCTAGAAGAGGAGACTGACTACGAGATGAAATAGTGTGAAGAAAGAGAAGTTCGTCGAGAGCAGCCTGCGCTCTCAAGAAGATTAGGAATGGAGATCCTGGATCTGATAATACTCCATTATCCTCCAATGCAGATGCTCCGTAGTCCGCCTTCAATGTCATGAGATCCCTCACGGCCCTTTGTATCGCGCGTGGGAGACAGGTTTGCTTTTCGCCCTGTGGAAGAGTTTGCGAAACCATTTTCACTCGTGTGAAGGATAAACTTGAAACATTTTTTCGTCAGATACTGTGATCCAATGCGAAACAAGATCCAAATCCCCACTGAAATCCGAAATCTTCTGATCCAGTTCCGCAGCGTCAGCGTCCTACTTAGCTAACTACTTAAGTAAGCACAAGAAGGAAGAACGACCAAGACAGAACAAGAACAACACAACAAGCACGACCCAAGACGTAACAAGGACTGCACGATGTCCATTCTCTTTCCTCATGNCCGGCTTAGTATGGTCTATAACATTCATATACCAACCATTTTTGAACCAAGTAAATAATTTTTTTTTTCCGCTCAAGTTTACAAGTGTTGAACAAGAAAGTAACCAAATAAATAAGTAAGAAACAGCGACAGCAATCGCATAAATAACCACTGAAAAAAGTCCATTTTTAAAAGCACGCAAGAGCAAGAAAATGGCAAGCGAAGACCAACACGGAGGAGCGGGAAACCCTTCACACGAAGGGGGTGGCGTTTTCGGCGAAGAAGAAAATCCACACGGTGGAGGTGGATACCACGAAGGCGCGCCGGGTGTTGTGCCGGGAGCAGGTGCAGGCGATGGAACTGCAGAGGGAGGCCAATATCCGCCAGGGTTGGACCAGATGGGATCTGGAGCAGAGCACGGGCAGGCCGGGTTTCAGCAAAACTTTGGCTCTGTGGGCTCAGGCGGTTCAGTTCCCGGCCCGGGATCCTGGGGCGGTGGTTTTCAACAACAGCCTCAACCTCAAATGCAGCAAGTAGACCTTGGCACAGCACTACTGCAGTTGGCAAACAACACGGCACAGCAGCAAGCACAGCTTGTAATGCACCTACAGCAGCAACAGCAGGCGAAGCAAGCTAACCAGGAGCAAACAGCCAGAATGTTTGCTACCATGCAAGAAAATCACCAAGCTGAACTGCGTAGAGCACGCGAGAACGACGCGGAGAAAGCGAAAAGTCACAAGTTGGACAAAGCAAAACAAGACGATCGCGAAGACGTCAAGCGCGCTACGCAAATGCTGCAGCAAGTGACGAAGTTCAACGGTTCGAACAGAGATTCTTACTCCAAGAGTTTCGAGACATGGAGGGTGGATGTCCGTAAGGCTCTCGCTGAGGCTGGTCTGATTGAATTCGTAGACAACGGCCCAGAGAAAACGGAAGAGGACACTCCGTCTGAAGAATTCGAACGTTTGAAGGTAAAAGCAAAGTCCCTCGGTGGTGCTTTGCTAGCTACCCTGGATGGTGAGGCGCATCGGTTAGTACGACAGAAAGATCAGGACGATCACACGACAGTCCATCTTATCATGTCTACTTTGATGGCCGAGAAGGAGCATCCAGGACTAACCGGAAAGATCACTCGAATCCAGAGGCTATTGTCGGTCGCAAACTCGAACGAGGCCAAGTCAGTAAGCCAACTGATGACCAACGTTCGCGAGGAATTGCGAGACATGCCCGTGATCGAGCCGCGTGATCTTGCGGTCGCGACGATTCTTGTAAACCTAGGACCAAAGTACAAGGACTTGGCTCCGCAGGCATCTGCTAGACCAAAAAGATTGCAGTCTCACCGCGGTTGAGGCAAGCCTCAAGCAGCGAGAAGCTTCTTTACAGGTCGTTAGTGGAGGAAAGCGAGACGAGAAGTCCCACAGTATAATGGCGGTTACAAAGAATCAACCGAAGAAACCGAAAAAGGGCGGTGGCAAGAAACCCAATTTCAGATGTGGTCTGTGTCAAACGGATGACCATGGATTCTGGAAGTGTCCGGCGCGTGAAAACCTTGGTGACCAGACTGGAGGTTCCAGCTCTAAACACGGCAAGGCAACGCGTGACACGGGTGCAGCCACGAGCAGCCGCAGCTACCGATCCAACCACAGGGACAGGGACTACCGAGACCGATCTCGTAGCCGCAGTCGCTCCCAAAACCGTTCGCACGGAGGAGGAGGACGGGGCAGAGACCAGACGCCAGGTAGAGTCCGTGGAGGAAGTAGCAGACGAGGCCGCAGCCCAAGCCGACACAGAGTAAACTCGGTTAAGTCCCGACACGGTTCCGAAGGAGGTGACGAAGATTCATTATCTCCAAGTGGTGCTGACAGCGACAGCGCAGTTAGAGTATAGTTACATTTTGAAACCAAAGAACTCCTCACTTTCCCAAAACAGCTACCACCTTATGCGTATGGAAATTAGCTGCACCAGATGGGGGATGTTAAAGGAGCATCCTGCCATCGCCTGGGCTAGTTTCAATGCACTCGCTAGTAGTTAATTTGAATGATTGAGTACTTCTGTTTAAAGAGTTTTCTTGATGCTGAGTAGGTAAATATAAGCAAGAACTTCTCTCCTTCGCCTGGCACCAAGTCAAGCATTGCGTTTAGCCGTAGAATTTTCGTTGAATGTTATTGAACATTCAACGTCGGGGGAGCTAAATGCCTTGCGACATCCGGGCCAAGGAAGTCCTTACTTGAGTAAAAGAAAAGAGCTAGAAAAAAAGCTACAGCTTCTCTCTCTTTCAACCAAACAACCACCCACACCACTACCACCTAATTAATCATCAAGAGAACCGCAAATAAAATCCCTTTTCTCAAATCAACCAACTCAAAAACAATCTTCCTCGGGTGGAGGAAGCTTCGTGCTAGTTGAGACAGCACAGGTAGCCCAGTCAGGGGCGAAGACGAAAGTGAGTAAGTATGTGATCGGGGGAGTGAAGTCGGTCAGCAACTTAGCTAGACACCTTCGCGCAAGACCTAAGACAGCGGACGAAGACCTGTCGGTCGAAGCGATTGTCGATAGCGGGGCTGAGACTCACTGTTCACCGTACTTATCTCATTTCGAGCGCCTGGGAGCTAGGTGCAAGCTATACACAGCCTCGGGCGAAGAGATCCCTGGAACAGCGAGGGAGGGCGTCTTCAGAGGCAGCTCTCTTCGTGAACTACGCCACGGCGTGTATCAGCCGGCGCTGAGTAGTGTGTATTTATCTGTTGGCAACTTGCAGAAGGCAGGTGTCCTAACTTCTTTCCCACCTCCGGGCGGAGTTCGGTTAGAAGGACCGAGGGGCGATGTACACCAGGGCGTAAGTCGGGATGGCTTGCCGGTCATCGTGCTCCAATTCGAGTCTGGACTGCCGCGACAGATTTGCGCTATCTCAGGGCTGAGAACGACAGAGGACATGTGTGTAAGTCTCTTGGAGCATGAAAGGTCGGGGCATTTTCTTCCTTTGCCAAAAGGCATCAGGTGTGCGGCGTGTCTAGCGACACAGGACTACGGAAAGCGACCAGCGAAAAAGCAACGGCCTACAACCTGGGAGCCTGTGAGGTCGAATCAGCGTTGGCAGGTCGATTTCAAGGACCTCGTGAAAGACAGTCAGCGAGCTTCGGAGAAAAGCATGTTTGGGAATGCTTGTCTTTTCGGTGCACTGGACGACTACGATCGGGCCCCCATGGTGCTACCATTGAAGTCAAGCAAGCATGCTGATGAAGCGCTACAAAAGATCTGTCGGTATACGAGACCTCCTGATGAGATCAGATCTGACAACGGGCCTGAATTCCAGACCATCAAATGGGCGAAGGTTTTGGCGGAGTTGAAAATCGTGGTCAACAGCTTTTCCCCGCCGTACCAGCCTACAAAGAATTCACGCATTGAGAGGTGGTGGAGAACAGGTGGAAACAAAGTCAGGGCATTGATGTGGGGAGTAGATGCTCGGCTCACAGATATATGCTGGATGACTGCGGCCTTTCTCTACAGTCTCCGAGATCGCGAATTCAAGGAAGAAGATGGCTCGACCACCAAGCAATCGCCATACGAGCGAAGATACAAGCGCAAGCCGAACTTCAACAAATTGAGGCGGTTTGGGACGCTGTGCTTCGTGTATGATGATCACCCTGCAGACAAAAGCGCACCCAGGTGGGCTCCCGCTGTCTTTGCAGGCTACAGCCCAAAGGGCTCGGCATTTCTCTACTGCCACTTCAACAGTGCAGGAGAATTTGTCTTACAAGAGACAGGACAGGCTAAGTTCTGTGAAGCTTACAAGGTGAGTAACCTCGAGCATCTTAAAGACCAGCTACTCATGGAACTATTGTCAACAGCAGAGCCCGATGCATTAAGCGCTGAGTACATGGAGCCACCTTATGGAACTGGTGAGGCGCTCCGGATGTTAGGCGCGGCTAGTGTGAAAAGGCCGCTTTTTGAGATGGCAAGAAGTTCGGGACAAAATGAGTCTTCTGGGTCTAGTATGCCGACGGTAGACATGCCTAAGACTATGCCAAGCGACGGGGCCGCGGTAGCACCTGAGAGCGCTAACAAGTTGCAGGACAACAGCCAGGGAGAAGATCTGGACCAAACAACACTTCCCACAGTGCACAGAGATGTAGTAGATCCTCCGGCGAATGAAGCAACTGCTCTGGGCAGGAATGCTAGCGAGCCAGGCGAATTGGTCAACGCCGGTCGTGCAGGTCTTGCAAAGTCTATGTCAGGTCGAGGCTCTACCACTGTAAAGAAAAAGGCTAAAGTGCTGGCCAAGAAAAGCACAGACTCAGAGGGTGAAACTTCTGAATCCGGAGCGACACCTAAGCGAGGTCGAGGTCGGCCGCGAGGGTCGCTGGATAAAGTAAAGCGCAAGGCCAGGGCGTCTAGAGATGCTGCGAAGGTTCTCTCTGTGGCTAGAACAAAGCCCAAGAAGAAGAAGCTGCAGTATGTAGACGCGGCTGCGCTGGATTCTATTCCCATTTCTGACCGTAGGCATGGACCCATATCACGGAAAGAAGCCACGCGGGGACCTGAAAAGGATCTATGGAAGGAAGCGGACAAAAAGGAGGTCGATGGCTTGAAAAAGTTGAAAGTCTGGAGAAATCTGGATCCTGCCAAAGATGCTAGACTGCGACGCCGTAAAAGACCGGCTCGCGCGCACATGGTAAGAGTGCGGAAGCGCGATGGTCGGCGCAAGTCGCGACTAGTGGCGGATGGATCGACGCAGAATTCTCTGTCCAAAGCCGAGATCTTTGCCCCAACGCCAACAACTACTAGCATGCGTTGCCAGTTAGTTCATGCTGCACAGCATGGCTGGGACATCGATGGCGCGGACGTGACTCAGGCTTTTATCAAGGCAGACCTACCGGAGCCCGAGCTTCTTAGACTTCCAGAGGAAATCCTCGAAGAGGATGAAGATCCAATCAAGGTTGCGACAAAAGCTCTGTATGGGTTCAAGCAATCTCCGAGAGCTTGGCATAAAAAGGCGGATGCGAAACTCCAGTCCTGGGGGTGGAAGCCATTGCCAAGAGAGGGGGGAGTCTACTACAGAACAGACGCAGATGGGAAGCTCTGCGCCATGTTAGTGTGTTACGTTGACGACATCATAGCAACTGCGCGAAAACCGGCCAAAGAAGGTGAGTTTTCCGCCAGTGACTATGTGGGTCAGGTCAGCAAAGAATTCGGGTCGACAAAGATGGACATAACCAAAAAGGAGGTCGGTAACAATATCGAGCGGCACTCGTTTGACTTTGTTGGAGTAGATGTTGACATCGATTACCGGGTGGACACGAGAGATGACAAAACATATCATCGACTCAAGTTCCATGGTAAGAATCGAGCAACCAAAATCCTGAAGAAGTGGAATATGTATGACGTGAAGCCCAAGCCAACTCCGTCCGTGCAACGGCACAAGGACGAGTGGCGCAAGCTTGTCAAAGAGGCTGGAAGCAAAGCTCCAGTCATCCACACCGACCAGGAAGAGGCATCGGGCCAGAGTGAAAGCGAGGCAAGGACCAAGAGCGGATCGCCGGGGGCGAGCTCGTCCAAGAAACCTACCAAGAAAGCGAAGGCGGCTGGCGAGTTCCAAAACAAAGCCGTGGCTGGTGAGTTGCTGTATCTAGCGTTGTCTTGTCGGTTAGACATCACCGAAGCGGTGAATGCTGCAGCAAGATGTCCTTTTGAGGAACTACAGACACTCATGCTCAAACATGTCATGCGCTATTTGCGTGGGACGCTTGAGCTGGGAGTGGAGTGGACTCAGGACAGCTGGGAAGAATACAAGGCAACCTATGGACCACTTTGGAACGCCGGAGTCGCGGCAGCTAAAGGTAGCGGGCCTCAGGCTGGATCACTAGGCGAAATGTCTCCTATGGGTCTTTTCAGCGATGCTGATCCTCAGGGTTGTCCTTCTACAAGCAAGTCAACTACGGGTAGCTTGATGACCTACTATGGTTGTCCAGTGGCGTGGCGATCTAAGCGGCAAACGATTGTGACACTCTCCACACCGCACGCCGAGACGGTGGGTAAGTGTGAATCGATCCAGTTTGCGCAGTCGCAAGGCTTTGTTGACATTGTTCCGGGCACAAAGTGCAGGAACCCGGATTACACAAACACCCCACCGACGTGGGTAGATAACATGCCGAGCCTAGAGCAGACTTCCCAGGAGCATCGGCGTTCGGGTAGTAAGCACTACCACTCACGATTGCACTTTGTGAGTGAGCTCGTCGACAGATGTCGGCATTGTCCGACGCATCTGATGCGAGCCGATGCTCTAACAAAGCCAGTATCGGGTGAGGTTCTCTTGATGATGTGGTATGGTGCTCGTAGTGGTACTAACCTGACTACAGGAGCGGGCCATAGTTTTCCTTCCACAATAAATTCCCTTACAGGTGCGCGGAGATCGCGGAACTCGTCGCTAAGCGGAGAAGGTCAGCGGACGAGGAAACGAAGCAAAAGCACCGAGGAAGACGGTGAAGAAGGGGGTAAAGAAGAAGGGAAGAAGAAGAAAAGGGTTACTTTTAGCAACCAAGTAACGCTTATTCTACCTTCATGAAACTAGATAGATTCCCATAGTGTTTCAAAACTATACTTTTTGACCTTAGTGGATAACTTTTTTTTTCTTCTTTGAAGTTCATCCTATTTTGAACCATACCAGCGAACTACTCACCCTAAAACAACGAACACGCTACAACTTCGACAAAGTTACTACACGAGCCAAGTACTACCTAGAGTCAACCAACTTGAAGAACTTTCTACACGTTTCAAAAGCTAGCTACTACAGTTATAGTTGACTTACTTGTTTCCGTAGCCAAAAGCTAAAACCACACGAAAAAGCTGACTAGTTAAGTTTTTCTTCAACTGTGGAACCCATCAGGAGAATTTCGGGGGGAGAATGTGACCCAATGCGAAACAAGACCCAAATCCCCACTGAAATCCGAAATCTTCTGATCCAGTTCCGCAGCGTCAGCGTCCTACTTAGCTAACTACTTAAGTAAGCACAAGAAGGAAGAACGACCAAGACAGAACAAGAACAACACAACAAGCACGACCCAAGACGTGACAAGGACTGCACGATATCCATTCTCTTTCCTCATGCAGGTTTGGTATATGTTACCTCGGTGACATCACGTAAGACATACTGAGAGGGTCTAAGATAGACTCAAGCTCAGGCCGGCTTAGTATGGTCTATTACAGATACATCAAGATTAAACAGTCAGGAAGAGATTATAGAATGTTGTTGTTGAGGGTGAGGGTGACTTCTAATTAATAATATATTGAATCATCTAAATAATCATTATGCTCCAGATTATACCCATGCTCCTTAATAAATTAATATGACAGCATCTTGCCTCAAAGTCAAAATCGAATACTGAGTCACAACGTTTTTTTAGCCTTGTAGCTATTCGACGTGTCGTTGAAAAGTAAGTACCGGCATATTCTGAGGCTCAGTTTTCTCGATCGTTCCCGTAGCATAAAGCGCACCAGTCGGACCACCCCAGCGATGCTTCGGTGCCTCACGCATTAGTAGTGCGTCGAATTCAGCTTCCGTGGCAACATTCTCCAAGAATAAGGAGTATCGTTTTTCATTTGGTGCATCGCTGACGAGTGTATCTGCCGGTGCGATCCTCAAAAAAATCGGAGGGGGAAGCTCATCGGAGTTATCAAGGGAGCTTCCGGAGGCGAAGAACGCCAAGCTGGGCCTAATCGTAGCTGCCACACCGTCCTCGAAGTCATCCATCACCTTTGCCGTGACACTCCACGACTCAGGGTCGACGGCAAATGATGTGCACTGGTGGAGTTGGGATAGGTAGGGCGTCATGAGCGACATGAAATGCTGCTTCGCGTCATCTACTACATGCTGGTCCCCCATTTTGATGTCGTTATTGTTGCCCCTCCAAACACGTAAATCTACTTTCGTGACCACAGTTTCTTGCTGCGAGTCAGCTTCAGCATGCTGTTTGCTAGATGGCACGAAGAGGTTGAGTGAGGCCGCGAGTGCTTCACCGAGAGCCGCGCTAGTAGTACTGAAACCTTTGTATTGTAGACGATCGAAGATTTGTAGTTTGGTTTTGAGCATCTGCAGCTGATCAGAACTGTAGTATTGGTCTTGTTGTGCTCCTGAAAGAGTGGCACCTCCAGACTGATTGTCATATTCCGCATACGCGATTTCAGAAGTCGCCAGGTCTAGTGTGTGTGCATCACACTCTCCGACATATCCGCGTCTAGGAGGTTCGTCTTCGCCCGGCGACGACGCATGTTCGAAAACGAATTGGGACCATGGAGAGACTTCGCCACCAGAGGAATGCACCACAGCTTTGCTCGTGCCCTTGGTATACTCCTCACGACGCTGCGGCTCCACCCGCAAAAACGAAGGGTCCGCTCCTACTCTGTAGACATTTATCTCAATCATCTCCGCTGAAGCTTCTTCCTCCGTGCTCGTCGGATCTAGTTGTAGTTGTAGTTGAAGTGTACCTACCTTCTCCTGTTGGGGGTCAGGGTCTTTTTCGCCCTCGTCGTTGTTTCCGCTATAATTAGCGGTTCCTGTAGTTTCACACAACTAGGTAGTATCTTGCATTTTATACATGATCCAAATTATGCTTCATAAAGTCATATAATTGTGAGTACTTATAAGCATATTCTGTTAGTCCACTAGATTGGGCAGTTATTGGCAACCCATAACAGCAGAAAAGTGAAGCGCAATATTGCTCAGCTTGACACTGCGCTCCTTCATCTTCGCTTCGGCAACGGCATGAGGATCAGGATTGCTTTTGGTTTGTGTGGGTGTAAAAACTTGTTGAAGAGATTCGTGGGGAGCGTCATCCAAACCCGAAGGTCTTCCTTGAGAATGAACTTCAATCTTCTTGTATCCGCTACCGCTTTGTGTATAAGCGTCTACTAGAGCAAGCTTTTGCTCTTGTCCAAGATATTCTTCGAGCGTGTTAAGCAACAGCTTTTGTTGGCTCTCGATTTTTTGCTCCACAAGTACTTCACCTTGTATTTTGTCCTCTTCTTCTTCGTTATGGAGACCATTCCCAGAAGGAACACTAACACACTGAAGGTGTAGAAGTACGTCGAGAGCAGCCTGCGCTCGTAAGAAGGGTCCAAGGACTTTTGGATGATCCTGAAGAAGCTCGGCATTTTTCCTGTCCCTGTAGTCGAATTTCACTTGCATGAGAAGCAGGACGGCCTCCTTTACCTCACCCACAGGGAAGGACAAGGAATCCGGCATTTTGTTTCTCCAGTTGTCCAATCGAAGTTATCACCTTGCTGTTCCTGAGAAATTATGATCTTCTCTGCTTCGCCTTCACCACGACACCACCAGTAATTGCGGAATCTTCTTGTTTCCTAAAATTAAATATTATCAGGTAGCGGAGGTGGTGGATGTGAAATGGATGATAGAATCAATTGCAGATCAAAAAATATGATGCATGGATCTAAAAAGAACGTCCATCACATTCACATATGTTGACGCTTCTGTCGTCCAGCTCCACGGGTCGACTCGACGACTTCATGACTCACGACCACATATTCACTCCATACGAGGACAACATATGCACTCCGTACGAGGACCACATGTTCAATCTAGACGACCACTTCTAAATGTTCAATCCAGAGTACGAGGACAACAAGTCTACTCTGTCATGTAGTTGATGGAAATCCTTCTTCTCGAACGAATTTGACGAGGAACTACGCATCCACTATCAACATCAGCACATTTCAGCAGTTCCGACAAAACGAGCGAAGAACACAATGTTTGGTGTCACAATCAGTCTTCTGCTCGGTGTCGATATTCCTCATGATGCAATCAAGACTCCAAGCTGCACTAGGTATTCGTTTATCACATCATTGCTACTCTCCTATCTTCGGTTCTTGTACTTTTGCTTTCATGCGGTCTTTGCTTGGTGCTTGATCATGGTTCATATTTCTTTTCACACAATGACAATGTCCATAAAAACAATTTTTATCTTTCTTGCATGTGATTTTTGCCATGTCTTGGTCTTCAAGCTCAGTGGTCATCTTTGAAATAGAAACTTTTACAATCGGATCTATGTTAAAATGCGATTACCGTCAAGCAGAATCGACTATATGGTCATCTACTTGTAGTGTTACAGTCTATAGCAGGAATAGGGAATTGGGAAACGACAAGTCTTAGTCTTTCAATTTTCACAATGCTAATTATGCACCAGTTCAAATGAATTTTCGTCATGTCTTAATTTCAAGAGGAGTCCAATAACGTATTCTCCCACGAACAACAACTATGAAGCCTTCCTTTCAGTCGCGCCTTCAATCTATTTTCTTTTCCAGCACACAACTTCTAGTACCTCTACAAATTCAGCAGGCTTACTCGAAGGCTATTTCTACTTCTGTCTAAGATAGAATCATAAGCAACACAACAACAAAAACAGCTTTTTTTAGCTCTTCTACTCAGGACAATAAACAACTACTCAGTTCTTTTCAACACTGCTTAGGAAGGATTCTAAGTGTTGTCCTTGATGTTTCAAGAAGTCGAGTTCTTCTCGCTTTTTGCGGTCTTCAATTGCCCGTTTCTCTGCTTCTCTGCGTTCGATGGCTTCTGCTTGGTTCTTCAATTCCACCACTTGGGCTTCCAAAGATTTTTTCTCTGTAGTCGTTGTGGTGGACGGAGGAGATGGGAAGAGAGGATGGGAAGAGAGGGAGGATGGGAAGAGAGGAAGAAACAAGATGTGAATGGATGCTGTACTAACTTGTACTAGATTCATCCAATGAATCATCTCGAGAAAAATCAAAATGTAGTGCGCAATCAGGATACGTAAAATTACTTTTCTCAAGATCCGCCAATGTGCTTTCGGTGTCTGCTTTGCCCATCTCAGATTGTAGCTGTTTTCTTGTGCCAAAAGTCACGCTACTACCGTACAAAGTCTGATATGCCGCAATTGTCATCCTAAGTTCGTCTCGTACTCGAAGGAGGAGAAGGCCCCTAGATGTAATGTAGGTCGGGACGATAACCACTTTAAGTAAGTGCAAGGGGGAATCGCAGTATAAGTGTACTACAAGGTAGAAAAATTGGAGGGTCGTTAAGCAGAATGGACTGGAGATAAAGAGCAGGTACATGAACAGCTTTGTTGACGTTGAGTAGAACAAAATCACCATAATTCATCTTACCTTTCTGGACAGTTGATGCAGACTTGGCGGATAAGTTCGTCAAAGGTTTGCGAATAGAGCTCTTCCCTCACCGGACAGATACCCGTTTCTCTTGCTTGCCTTGTTGTTAGAGATGGTGTCTTCAGATGGTCGTAGGTCTTGTCTAGTACCAGTCGCATAAAAAAGAAAGAGGTGCAAATATTGTCCTAACAAGACTGACAATTCTCAAGTTGGTACTAGTAACTTGATCATTCCACGAATGACTCACGATACGTCCACAAATACAAAGATAATTACAAATCTGGAGTAGATGCGAGTGCTACTAACTTGATTCCACGACTAGCTCAACAAGATACTTCTACTTCTTCTGGGTAAATAGTGCAAATACTCGTCTCAACATAACTCCATCAATTTGTGATCCAAGGCCTCTTGTAGTTGAATCACGTCTAGTCGCGTTGGCTGGGCACTGCTCACATACTGGATCATATTCCTCTCGTTCTCGACCCATTCCCTGAAGAAAGTGAAATGTTTCATATATGATTGATGATTGATGCTTCATTGACGTGGACGGTGACTCAGAGAGAAAAGTGAAGTCATAAAAATTCCCTGAAGTAGAAGGTGAAGTGTTATCATTGGTTCTGGTTTATCATGATTTCGATCGTGAGAATAGGCAGACGCAGGGCACACCTATTGTCTGAATGAAAACGAATGTTCTTTTTCAGTGTAGGTTTTCGTCGTTGATAACAATTGAGATAAAAAATAGCATGAAATTGTAGATACCTTGGCGGCAACAAAGCATGCAGGATATCCTCCAGTTGTGGCTTGAACTCGACTGGCGGTAACGTTGTTTTCTTACTCAGCTGTTGCTTCAATTTGTTTCCCGCTGTTGTACAAAATAGGTGAAATGTTACCCTTAATACGGTAATTAGGAGGATTATGTGTATGATTTGCAAGTTGTTCATCGTACTTCTTGTGATGTTCAAGAATTCTCTTCGTCTTTTCTTTTGATGCTGGTGGACGATAACACTAAACTAAAAACTATGATGTATTGTAACTAAGCATAAAGGGTAATCAATTTGCATTGATTCGTTGACACTCCGTTTAAAAGTACTCCCGGAGGCTTGTGCCGAGGCTGGACCGAGCTCCAATGGCGGATCATATTTGACCAAAGAGTCCCTTGGCCTCTCGTCAATCGCCATTTTGTTGTTGCAGTTGGATACTCAGAAAATGGTGACAGAAGTAATGCTGATAAGGATGAAAATGAGGCTAAAGTAGAAGATGAGTAGAGTCTGAACAATGTTAGATGTTACAGACAACTTCACTATACTGTTGTAGCTACTAGATCTGACTTTTGCTTTTCGATGCGACAATGAAGGCTGGAACAATGTAGTCTGTAACTTCTATATCAGTTTTCGTTTTCTCTTTACCAAAATATTCTGTAGCTTTCTTATTTCTTATCACGAGCAAAACGAGCAGAAGGGTGGGGGACGATTCACAATTCGGAGAAAATACTCTTAGAAGAATTGAATCAGCATGTGACCGACCAAGCTTCGGGGAAATCAGTTCTGTGTGATGACGATGTACTCGTTCGGGTTTCTCTCTTCATATCTCCTATCAGCCGCTCTCAAGTCTTGTTTTTTTTGCTGTAGTTCGCGAAGACGAAGCGAGCCAACATTTCAACTACCAGTACATGCGACTTTTCATCGTAATTCAGTTTCTACTATCTAACGACCACGAAGACATTCGTGAATTTCTTAGCACCTTTTTTTTCACAGACATTTTCGTTAGATGTGTTCACTGCTTTGGCTTAGCGTTGACAGTGCAGTATTTTGAGTTCCATCAAAAAGAGACTTTGAATTTTCATCGTGATTTTACTTAGAAGGAATAATCCATGGTTGTTAGTTTCGATTCGCAAAAAATACAGAAATCTATCAGTTCGCAAACTACCAATTCGGAGTATCGACAAAGTTTAGTTCATCAACTTCAAAAAGACTAGTAAAAAGACAATGAAATGAAAAGAAGAGACGAGAAATACGGAACCCCGTTTTTATCTTAGACATATGGACTATACCTGCAACCAGCAAGACTCGTCAGAATTGCAGTGAACTACCCAACAGCAACATCTGCGAGCCTGCTAACAATGCGTCCTGGCAGCCCATCTGAGAGCCTGAAAGCCCGTTCTGGTCTAGTAACTGAAAGGCCGCTACTCACAAACTAACTTCGTTGTAGCATTATAGCTCAAAGAACGCTGCTCATAGCTCCACCTAGTGTAGCTCAGGGGACGCGGCTAGTTCGTCCTAGTATAGCTCATCGTCGGATTCGAGGGTGTTGGCGAGCGGGCGTGACAGAGGGCACAGCTCACCCTAGATCTAGACTCTGTAGCGTAGGTTTTTCTGTGACACGTGCGACAATCTATTAGAACTAAGAGAAATCCATCTCCAGCAAATCCATCGTCGTGTTAGGCTTGGGCCTCCTTTGTAGTTTTTCCTTTAAAGTAAAAACGGGAGGACCAAGATCGATGTCGCCTGTGAAGATGGATTTCTTGTAGCCTCAAATCTACGACGTCTTCTCCGCCAAAAATCGACCGCCCACTGGCTACACAAAAAGGCAGTTTATGCCCACAAGAGGAACACTGGATTTGCCACTCCTGCATCGAGGACTGACAACCTAGTAAAATAGAGAGATGTTGACGTAGAGGTGGAGCATACGTTGATGAAAAGTAGTAGTAGGAGGAGAGGGAGAAGGAGAACGAGAACTAGCACTAGGATGAGGAGCGAAGAAATATGTTGAGAAGAAGGACAACATGGTGAAACAAAGAATCTCGATGATCTCCTTAATATGCAAGTAGAAGTAGAAGTAGAAGTACGATGAGAAGGAGCCGATCCAGATGAATGTTGAAAACAATGAGAAATTGTACACTTACGGTTGAACAAGACGAAGAGGAGAACATTTGCCTTTTGAGTAAGGTGGAGATGGTCAACTATAACTACTTCTACTTGAAAACAAATGAACAGGATCAAAATCGGGCACGTGCAGAATCTACGGTATAAGTCAAGATATCAATTACAAAAACTACTATCCCCTTGTACTGCAGAAGATGTTGTAATCAACATATCGTCCCCTTGTAAGTAATGCAGAAGAAGAAGATGTTGTAATCAACACAAGCATAGTACTTGGACATGGCACCATTCTCGTACTAGGGTCTCTCGGCGCTTGGGAAGTGAATATCTGCAGAGCTAGAGACTCAAACTTCTTGTAATTCCGCAATTTGATAAACGCTCTTGAGCACTGCAGAAAAAACTTCGTCTGATAAGTCGTTAAGGCAACCTGGAGGTGGAGGGAAAAGAGAAAATGAATTGTGGGGAGATTAAGTCTTTAAGGCGTCATGGATGAAGAAGACAAGTGTTATAACATCAATAATGAATACAGTAAATTTGTACTCAGCTTGTCGTAATAATTCTTTCCACACCCATAAAAATGATGTTCTTGTCGTTGTCCACTCATTTTCAACATTATAGATGTTGTTGGAGTTTCGGATACTATGATGACATCTGCTGCTATAATTTCATCCTCCTAGTACTATTACTATGCATTGTATCACTGTCAAATACCTCCAAGCAATAAATCGGCTTTAAGTCTAGAAGACCTACGTACAAAAATGCGTATGATCATGATCAGGTACCAAGCAATAAATTGTCTTTGGGTCTAGTATGTCTTCGTAATCTGTGAGACGAATCGCCGAACGCATGGCTTTGTCGATTTGATGCTCATATAACTGCCTCTGACAGAGCATCAGTATGTGATACGCTTCGCAGGCCCTCCAAGGCTGCAAATATTAGACCTCCCCCCAATTCATCCCTGTGGAGTACTAGATGTAGATCATCCCTTAAGCACTAGGATATGCCTCGTCAAGAGTGTCTCCCTTGTATTTTTGGAGTGCATATGCTTGAGGGATGCCAGTCTATAGAGCTGCAGATGGATTACAACGGGGAGCCTTAAAAATAGGCGAAATCAGGCTCGCTCCCCTCGATATCCATCATCGCATGCAACGCGGAAATATTGTCGGCTGAAGACCTAAGTCGTGACACGAGAACGAGATACGAGGATCGTAGTCCTTAGATGAGATGGACATCATATACTAGAGCAGTTTATAGGGGTGCCAGATCCGGGATGGGATGGCTCGGATGGATCGGATGGAACGGATGGACTTTCCACCATTTCAAGTAGGATCGGAAGAATCAGGGGGGTCCATCCGATCCATCCGATCCATCCTACATCCGTTCTATAAACTACTCTAATATACAGCAGTCTACTCATAGTCATACGCACCTCCACCACTCCTGATCTCTGAGATTTTTTTTTTGGTACACTGAAAATCTAGGTACCTCATATTCCCAGGCCCACTTTTCTGCGCTTTTTCTCGTTTCTTCTCGAGCTCTAATGCTGCAAGTAGAAAGATTTTCTTCATTTTGTCTGGCGCCTTCAATTCACTACTCTTCTGGACTTCGTCTCCCAGGTTCATGATCCATTTGCACGCATCCCCAAATCTATTGGCCTTTTTGTAGAGCTGAATCGCCTCTATCTTGCTCCCCGGGTCTCCTTTCTGCAGATTAGAATGATGTCGTGTAATTGAAACAAATGGCAATGAATATGAAAGCCAGGAGCACTGCTACGAACACCAGAAAGAGGAGGACTACGACTACCACTACGTAAGTAAAAAAACGGCGCTACTTCTAACAGCCACACCCCACAGCATGAACAACAACAACATAACTAAGAAATGTTGTGCGTATTTCCCAAGCAAGGTTTCGATATCAGCGAAGTTTTCTTTCCTTGCCAGTTCCACCGCCAAATCCCACTCGTTTAGCAAAGCACAGGCATCGATAGCTGCTCTCGAGTCTCCTAAGCGAAGATACGCTTTCACCCCTTCCTCACACAAGCCGACGGAGACTAACTTCTCCCCTATCGTTCCGAGTATTAGACCTCTACCTCAGCCGAAAAATTCATCATTACTCGCAGATGCAGAAATTGCTCATAATCTTGCGAACCTTGGATAGTCAAAAGTCTTATCTTACACGAGACGAAAAAGGTCCTTATTACAGGACAGAGACGGGTTGCAGCAGGATGACATTTTTGTTTTTGTTGGTGTGTTAAGGGCCCTAAAAGCGTGGAAAAGGTTGGTTATTCTGCAGTCAATGTCGTGAGAATAATTACCAAGGGGTGATAGGAATCGCACATCATGAAGATAACAAAGCGATGATGCGAACTGCACATCATGAAGATTGAGCCGTAAGAGTAAAGGACTCCCTTCTGGCAGCATAGAGATGAACCTCGCCAAAGAATCGTAGTCCTCCAGGTTGTAGTAGGCTTCCACTAATTGGTCGTAGTTTCTAGCTTTCGTGTAGTACTGAGCAGCGTGGGACCATTTACTTCGATCAGCGTAGTAGTCGCCTATGTTGTTGTAAGCCTCCTGAAGCAAATTCTCGCTGCCTCCACTTCCGGGTTATGAAAGCTATGTGCGTCATCAAGTATGAATTGTCACGACTCGTCCCAAACAGGAGAAAATTCAAAATACAGTAAGAATCTGCATGCTGTGTCGTGAAAGATCGCAAGAAACCGAAGCCATGCAATACAACGCAATAAATCTCGCAAAAAGTGCAGACTGCCATAAGGGCGTCGTGGAGGTTCGGCACGATGTTACCTTACACACAATTATCAACTTAGAACGGCGACCCACTCATAACTGCACGAGTTGTATAACTCGAAACCAGTCACCAAGCTTGAGGCGCAATTCTATGGATAGATCTCGTCTATCTATCTCCCGATAGAGACTCTCCGCTTCGTCAAACCTCTGAAAATAGCCTGCAACTTCCGCCTTTTGCTTCACTTTGTCGGATAGGGGAGGTTAGAAAAAATGAAAAAGGATGAAGATTACATTTGCATCACAGTTGTATGTTGAAGATGTGGAGGTGATTATTCTGTAACTGTACCTGATTCAGAAGATAAAAACTCAACGAACAACTATGAATGTTGTGGTACTCAACCCTTACGTTAATTCCCTTTCTTGACTTTATTACACTTACACGCCATCTGTCACCACTCATGCTCATCATGTCCAAAACATAAAGTTTCAATCTCTTGACGAACTGGATGCCTGCGTAATCCTCGTATTTGACGAAGGCCTTTTCCGCCACTTGAAATTCCAGTTGATCTAATGCGCTTTCGGCCAGAAGCCTCCAGAGGCGCGGATGCGGATTGTCCTCCACATACTGGAAAGCGTCTTTCAGATTACTCAGCTTCGTGAGAATGTCCCTGGTATCCCGAAGGCTTTTGGTCTCGAAATCCATGATGATTGCTGGAATGGTTAGAAGAAAGATCATTTAAGAATGCTCCACTTGATCATGTGCTTTCGGACTGTAGTTGTATGCTCTCGTTCTGTAGTATGCTCTCGTACTGTAGTATGCTCTCGTACTGTAGTATCTATGCATATGCTCTCGTACTGTAGCATGCTCTCGTACTGCAGCATAGTGCTATAGATTTACAACTGTAGGCAACATCATGGGACGATATCTTCAAGCACAAGGGGCTTTGACACTACACAGCGACTAGAGCATTTCCTTTTTCATTGCTAGAACCACATAACTTCGATGGCTGTTCTGGTGCTCGCATCAGGTCGTCGACTAAGGCAGACCTAATCTCCAAATCCTTGAATTCGCAGATGTAACCGGAACTAAGAACGGGCTCCTCCGGTTGCGTGCCTCGCACTATGTACATCCTTGACTTCTCCATGAAGGTGAATAAGTCGCCGTTATCGCTCGCCCACTTCACATGCCAAACGTCTTTTCGCTCAAAAGGCAACTGCGTAACCTGCCCTTTCCGCTTGTCGACGTGACCGTTAGAGGAGGAGAAGGAGGAAGCCTTTAGTCGCAGAAAAAGGCAAAGGATAAGCACAAGGAACTATTTGAATTTGAAATTTGAACTTGGAGAGCACATGGAGCAGGACCATCTATTTCTGCATCTACGAAAAACTGAAATAAGCAAGTAACTTTGTTGTTAAGCTACCTCCGTTATTTCAGTCAGTAACTCGGTTATTTTCAGTTTTCGAATACTTCTACTTCCCTAACATACAGAGACAGGATTCCGTTGATGTCGACCGTGAGTAGCTTTGTGGAGTGGCAGTTCAATTGGAAGACACTGGGGTTCATCTTGATGCTGAACCGGCCGTCCTTCTGCAAAAACGGCAAAGTATATTTCTGCACTGCACCAGACTCACGCCCAACAAGGAGTAAGACATCCGAAGCGCACACTGTACCAATACCGTCCTCGACTGAGGCTGTGGTGCAGGTGGGGTGTTGTAGTTTCATGTCAGAAGATGGGGTGGAAGTAGATCAATGGATTAAAGGAGAAAATGTTGTGCACGGTGATAAGAATTTTCGTTCGAGGATGAGATAGGCCACGGAAAATCGCCTTCGCCATGTTCGCTTAATTCAGGAAATAGTGGTTCTCTGAGTAGGACAACGACAAGGATATTGCTTATATTATTCGTCTTCGTATCCATTTTCATGAATTAAATTTCAAACTCAAGAATAAGAAACCTGCATTGTTATGTGCTGCTTGAAACTCCTCCTTTTCCACGAAGTTGCCGTCATCGTGCAAAGAAAACATGAGTTCCGTTCGCTTTTGACTCGTAACCTTCTGTTTCGAATGGTTTATGTAGTTCCAAACGTACACTACGTCTGCCGTTGCGACTATAATTAGAGAGCATCCTTCTGATCCAACATCTGAAGATACAACATAGTACATCGTGCTGCTGCAGCTGGAGGGTCGTGCCTGTTATATTCATTTCCGTCGAGGAAACAACGTCCTTCTTTTTAGCAAGCAAGGATGTCTCTTAAACTTCACCGAGGTAGATTTGGGTTACGATTAGGGAAATAAGCCTTAATATCACATGACTCCTCGTCATGGCCACTGCCTTCACTGTCGCGTGCAGGACTATTTCCTTCTTCTCCAAAGGACTACCAATTTCGTTACACAGGTGGATTTGATAAACGTTTTCTTCAGTCTCGGGATTAGAGCTGGTAATATGCCTTTGTCTAAATTCTGAACTTGAACGAATAAGACTTGGAATTACCGACTAGGAGGAGGCCTCTGACTAGATTCTAAGAGGTCTCGCACTAGATGTTCTTATTACAAGTATTATAGATACTGTCTAGCACTAGAACTAGGTCGTCCTCATCGTCATTAACAGCCATAATCGTTACTATGACACAATGTTCGCCGGCCGCTTTTATCGCCACTACGTGCCGAAGGGTTTTTACCTCTACATTTTGTCCATCGCCAATCATCTGTGGTTGGCCTCCGCCACTAGCCGTCTTCGCGTTTGCTGCAGTGGATGAACCAGTATTGTCACTAGCTGATCCGCCTGCTCCTCCTCCACTTCCAGAACCACCACCACCTGCGGCAGAATTAGCGCAGTGTCCGTGCTTAAATAAGTAGAATACAAGTCGTGTTCGTGTTAGGTTCGAATTATCACTGAATCAATTTCAGTAGCGATGTTATTACAGCCCTTCTAATATTCTTCTAGCTCTGTCCTTATCCTTTATGATGTTCGGAACAACATCAAAAGGACCATACGACCAAGCAAAAAGATAGAGTGAGAATCAAAGTAGATAGAGCTGAGAGCAGAGCGATAGATAGATTTAGATAGATTGATTTAGATAGATTGATTTAGATAGATTTAGATAGATTTAGATAGATTTAGATAGATTTAGATAGATTTAGATAGATTTAGATAGATTTAGATAGATTTAGATAGATTTAGATAGATTTAGATAGATTTAGATAGATTTAGATAGATTTAGATAGATTTAGATAGATTTAGATAGATTTAGATAGATACAACCATAACAGAACTACTGCCAGCTCCACTCCCTTTCCCTGCAGTGTTCCAGAAGACTACAGTATACTCGCTTCTTTCCTTTTTGTAAGCAGCGTACACAAGTGTCTTGCCAAAGTAGTCCCATATGTAGTCTGGTCTGACATTTGCGAAAAAAATGTGGTGGTCTACTGGCAGTTAGAAAAATATTAAGGAGAAAATGTCGTGGTGGTCTACTGGGAGTTAAAACGTTGAGTACGAGGAACTGGCAGGTGTGGATCTGGATGCTTCTAGTAAACACGAAACACCATCACTGGGTGGCCTTCCTTTCCTTTCCTGTCATGTCATATGTCTCCAATCTGCCTTTCTTGTTCATCTAATCTAGTTCTAAAAAACGTAAACCTGCTAAAAAATAGGTACTATTCTTCATAAGCAAGAGCAAGTCTCAACCCGGATCCTTCCCAGCTGAGGGATCGTAAGTTGTTACCAGGCAGTCTCAGAGTTCGCAGATGCTCTCCGAACTGGGCACCATAGAACTGGACTATTCCTACCTCACCACCACTGCCGTTGTTTTGCATCCCGGCAAGCGCTACGACTGTGCCAGCTGGGTTCCACCTGGTGAGGGAGTAGGGGAAGAACAAGAAGGGTAGTTCCACCTGGTGAGGGAGTACGAGTAAGTAGGGGGAGAAGGGTAGTAATTTGGATCCCGTACTCATACCTTGCCCTGTGGTTGTTAAGCAGAAGAAATGAGCATGAGAGAACGTCGTGCTCGTGGCAAAGAAAATCAAAATTCAAAATTTATTAGTTAAATTTAGCATCGAAGCATAAAACAAGATGAAGGTACGGTCGTGGTACTGCTATTGGTAACAAAATGAAACTAACAACTGATGTTCATCTTGTACCTGACTCCTGTGCATCGCATCTGCGAGTCTATGAGAACCGGCCGGTCATCGCTTTCGTTGCGTAATAGCTGTACTCTGCCATTTTCGTACGCACAAGCGAGACTTGGGATGTTCAATCTGTCTCTATGCTGTGTCCCGTCATACCAGTGTATGCCAGCAAGCTGTGTCTGCATGCCCTCGTCGAGGCAGTAGACTGGAATCTTGAGGACGTAAACGCCTTCGGGATCGTACGAGGATTAGGGAATGACGGGGTTTGCTTCTAGAAGAAAGCTGAGACTGTTTCAAGGTTTGCTTCTAGAAGAAAGCTGAGACTGTTTCAGCTCAGTTTGGTCATGTGATCGTTCCGTGTTGCGATCCTATCTCGATCACCTAAGGAACTGGATTACCTAGAAGTTCTAGAAAACTAGCTCCTAAGCAACTTATAGTCGAGCGTTCAGTTTGGTTTTCTGCTAGTTGTAGGTATAACTACTCTTCATCAGAGACTAGTATTTTTTCATTTCCTTCCTTCACATCATAAAAATGAATATCCCCATTTGGAGTCGAAAAAAGAATATTCCTCCCATCTGGAGCCCACTCCACCATTTGGAGCTGCGTTTTCAACTCCTTGCCCCAGAGTCGTTGTCCGTCGACGGTGCCTGTTGTGAAGTTGAACTACTGGGAAAGAAACGAGGCTTCTATCAAGATTTAGGCAGCTAAAAGTTAGAGTTACTACTTTTATTAGACTACTACTTTTTTTCAAAAATACCAACTATAACCGCTCCATCTTCGTAGATAATGCAGATTTTCTGCCCATCAGGTGTCCACTTCATATCCTTCACGACTGACCTGTTTCGATTGTTTATCATCTCCTCGAACCAGATGCCTCGGTGTAGCATCCACACTATTATCAGCCCGTTAGGGATTAGAAGCCAACGGGTCAGAAGGTGGGGGAGATGAACAAATAGAAGACAGTTCAGAGGGTGGAAAAGATTACAAAAGAAGATAAGTAAGTAATGTTGATGAACCGAGGAAGACCAAAAACTCGGTACTTTTCTAAACAAAGGAACTCGCTGAGCCTAAACCTTCAACTTCTTGGTACAAAAGACTACAAAAGACTGTTTGAAGTGGTCAAATTGTACAACCATCACTGGATTATACCTGTTGTGCTTACGTTTCAACTTTATGTCTCCTACGAGGTTGAATGGTTCTGGTATTTGGTCCCCTGATTTTGGTCTTGAGGAAAACAAGACGAGAATCCTTGTGATCAAACTCAGCTTACCAAATACCAGAGCCATACAGAGGTAAGTATGTCTGTCTGTGCAAGTGCATGATCAAACAATATAAAAATATCCTCGACCTCCTCCGACAACAGGCCTTTCTTTTTTCTCAGCCATCAACATCATAACTGATCGCTTGTGGTTAATTTTCTGAAATTTTCGTTCCATGTGGCTACCATGATGCATCCCTGATGGCCCTCTAGGGTCTGGTTCATGGACAGGTTGCTCTTGGACCCATCGGAGCCCGTGGATTCGAGCTTGATGACCTGTTGGACGAAAAAGGAAAAGTGTAAATGGCAAAACTACTGGTTCTTTCTTTATACATAGATACTTCCAATACGAATTCGTTCTTTTCAAATACAAAATCTAACTCTAACCATGACTCTATAATTCATCACCTTGCGCAGTCATCTTTCTCTTTCTCCGCCACATGCTAAAATAAACATCACAATCGATTTTTTACCTTGAGCAATCCTCTTTCTCCGCCACATGCTATCCATCCTTGCGAGAGATTCCAGGAGATAACCTGTAAATTCAGGTTATGCGGAATCGCAATTTTCTTCGCGAGATAGACAAACATCGTGTTTGAGGTCTGTTCCCTGTAAGACTAGGTTTGTCTCCTGTAAGACTAGGCGTAGGAGTGAAAAACTAGTAGGAGTCGTGGAAGACTACTAGGAGGAGTTGTTGAGGTGGAGTTTGTTTTCTCCTGTAGCTGTAAGACGAGTCTTATAAGTCTAATTGTAAGACTAGGACGAGGCGAGACAGGATGAGAACAAGACTTTTAAACGTGAAGGCTGTTGTAGTTGTATTTAGAAGTTGTAGATGCGGCGAAGGACGCCTCTACTGCGTGTTTGCGACTGTGTGCACGGGAGCTTAGATGCGGCGAAGGACGCCTCTACTGCGTGTTTGCGACTGCGTGCACGGGATCTTAGATGCGGCGAAGGACGCCTCTACTGCGTGTTTGCGACTGCGTGCACGGGAGCTTAGATGCGTTGTCTTCGTTTTGACCACTTCCTGCTACAACAACCGACTTTTACCTGGAACCCCGCAAGCGTACTCGTCACGACTGGGGACGTAACGCATGGATCTTTTCTTATTATTTGCAGCTTGTTCGCGTCGGATGCAGGAGTCTTTTCTTCTCGATTGGAAGAAGGTGGAAGATATGTGCCGAGTTATATGCTTGTAGTTCTGCTGCTCCCCAGCACACCTCGCCTAGGCGACAGATGCCAAATCATGCCGTCTGCATCGGTGCAGCGGTCGTCTGCGCTACTCCAATCTTTCTACCCTTCTACGGAGAATCTCGTGGAAGGCCGTTCCTCCAGATGATTCATTTTTCTAGTCGACATTAACTACTGAGGATCTTGTTCTTCGTATATTTACACTTTTTCCCCAGCTCTTACTTATTTTTCTACCCTAGTTGTTTCCGAGCGATGCTAGAAAATGATGAGCTCATTGACTGTAGTTTGGCCTTCTCATATTTGCGTATGCTGTTTGTTCGCAATCTTCGCATGGTAAAGATAATTACAACGCGTAATTTAATAACGCGTTATTTGTTAAGTGTGAGATATGTGCCAGAATGATTAAGGCGAGAGAGAAAGTGAGTAAAGTGAAAATTTAGAGACATAAACCTAGATGAGAGGAGGCGTAGAGAAACCTACCACGCGTGATAAATTATCAACAATGTGTTTACGTTTTGGTACGAGGAGGCGTAGAGAAACCTACCACGCGTGATAAATTATCAACAATGTGTTTACGTTTTGGTACGAGGAGGCGTAGAGAAACCTACCACGCGTGATAAATTATCAACAATGTGTTTACGTTTTGGTACATCATGTTGCTGCCAGGTCCACTCTAAGCCTTTTTTGACGGACTCCAGTACTCTAAACTTGCCTCGCTCTCACAGCACTCGAGGAGGAGTCTCTCTCTCTCTCTTCTGCTGAGAGACTGAGTGTCATCAGGTCAAAACACTGATTATGAAGATCACCGATCAGATTTCAGCTTCAGAAATTGCTCTTGCAACTGATACTGGCACCGGCAATACAACTCGTTACCGTTCTCAGAAAGATTTTTGTCGACCCAAAGCCACGGGAAAGAGACAGATGCTAGATGGCGACATCTTGATCGAAGATTCTGATGCCACCAACTACAAGCAACAGACAAGGAAGAAGAAGGAGACTCGAGCAAAAATAGGATAAGCAGGGTAGGAGTTGACTCGCCTTCCACAGGGTGACCTGTACCGTCTGGGCGTCATCGCTTTGCTTGATTTTGATTTTTTTTCAATTTCAATCCGAACCTCCCAAAAATTGTTGAAGATAACCAAGAACTTACATGTTCATGACAGTTTTTTTTTCATGTAGTTAACAACTTCCAACCTTCACCCCTGTAGTTGATGTCGCCTAGTACTTGTGTCCAAGCAGGAATCAAAAAAGATTCATCATGCCACAACATTATCACTGCGTTTGATTCGATTCGTATCTCCTGAAGGACGTAGTCTACGGAAGATGGATCAATGGAAACCTAAAAATACATAACCTAGTACATGTTCATGTTGAGTCAATCCTGAATGATCATGAGTATGGAGAAATAAGATGCTCGAACATAGAAAATGACACAAGAGGACGGAAGATACAGGAGCCACAGGAAAACAGTATTAAGACTGTGCATGCATATGCAATCGGCTAATATCCGGTCGTCGTGATAGCTGCTGGTCGTCGTCATAGCTGTTGCTATCGCTAATATGTTGCTATTTGAAACGTCCTCAACCTGCTATTGTATCTGTTCGTGTTCTGTACATGTGTGATTTCGTGCATAGCATGAGTGTTTTGAGTGTGTATAAGCCGTGAATATTGTCGCAAAATAAGTCGCGAACCAGAAGTTCTACCATACCCCTTTTCTCCGATCTTTCGTATAGCATAAGGTCAGTCCAGCAGCTGCTCGCTTCGCCAGCAATACATAGGAGTAACATGCTCAACATATGCAAATTGAAAAAGTGAGATTTTCTATCTAAATTAAAAATTATTGATCTTTTAGTCAACTGCTACGTCAACATGATCTTTTAGAAGTAGCGTAATCCTAATGCTGCAGCTGCATCACGCAACAAAAAATGCATTATGGTTGTTCTACTTTATTATTCGGTTGGATTCGGTGGAAAAAAATCTAAATCTCTGCCTCGTCTCCATGAGACATTAAATAGTTTCTTCACGACAATGCTTTACAAGATCGATCCTTTTTTACACATGCAGCTGGACAATATTTGTACAACTACTGTCGTCCAAGTCCCGACGGAGATTACACCTACACGAGAACAAATTCTCATTTGGATCCTAGTGAATCATGTGAAAAGGAAAGCTTCTAAGTCTAACTCTAACAAGGTCAATGATAAGAAATGGAAATAATGCGAAATACACATAGGAAAACCTATTTGATATTAGCATCGTGCCATATGCTGAATCTTCAATGTCATCTACCTTTCTGGACAACCTGTTCGTGCTCATTTTCTTTGATACTATTCTTGGTATAGAAAAAGGTATGACTTCACTGCCTAGTAGTGCTCATGTCAGCTATTGCTATACTTTCTGTTTCTATAAATATGTCCTCATAAAATGGAATGCTAGGGCTACCACGTTCGTTATTCCATTTTATAACCTGAAGGTTTATCAACCCCAACGAAGGATATGAAGATTGCCAAAAAGAAAAAAAATCCAAAAACACTATCAAGTGCGTGAACTACAGGAGCATGCGATGTCATCGAACACGCCTCCGATTGGAACAAGGAGCACTCTTTTCTATTTTTGCCCCTCAGCTGCAAGCTCCCCTACAGGCCACGAGCACGAGCTGAGTGATGACTCTCCTGCTTGTCTGCGTCCCAGCGTTGCTAGTTTATTTTGCGTAAGTACCCGCGTCATGCTTTAGCGCTTAGAAGATAAAGTATTTAGTAGCATACTTTTACTTACTTTTCTTCTTCGTTTCTTCATCAAACGATTAGAATCAAAGTTCTGTAGTTCTAGTTCAAGATGATTAGATTTCTATAACTCTGGTCGTTGTACTGGTAAAAAGCATATCTATATCTACTAGGAGTAGGACCACGAGGGCTATAATTTCTTCAGCTTCAGAGTATTCGAAAAACTGAAATAAGCGAGTAAGGACTGAAAATAAACGAGAAAGGACTGAACAAGGAAGGGTAGCCTTGATGTTAAGCTACCTCCCTTTTTACTTCAGGAGCCAGTAAGAACTCGGTAACTCGGTTATTTTCAGCTTCAGAGTAGGTGTTGTTTCATGTTTGTGAAAACTAGGAACTGGATCATTTCATTGGATCATTAATTAGGGGAACTTTTCATGAAGATGTTTGTGAACACTAGGAACTGGTCATAACTCCTTCTCCTCCACACTCTCTTCGCGAACGGGATCCACAACCGCGAACGGGGTGCCATCGTAGAGGTGCTCTCCCACTCCAGGTTTGGGATGCTGAAGGCCGATGATCAATGACTTGTTCGCTGTAACGAAGAAGTTGTCTTGCTGACCTCCTGGCTGTCCCTTCAGTGGCGTGTCTCCACGGTCCGACACCGAAAGCGTTGGTGATCCAACATTATTTGCTGGTGTTCCTGGATATTGCTGTGCTGCAGATAAGTTGTTCTTGTTTCTGCTGCTCAACCTACTGTTTCCGTCGTTACTACTAGAGGCACTGGGAGCGTCGTTGGCGGCCGCCTCTTGCAATTGCGACATGTAGGAGTGAAAAAACCAAGGTTTGTTGTTTTCGAGACCAGTTTCGTAGACGAACTGCGAAGAAATCCAAGCTGCGACCATGGCCTTCAGATACGCCGCTGGCACCCTGCGCTTCAAACTCGATAAGCCGCCTGCTTTCTCCAGCAAGATAGCTGGCACAGCACGTTTAAGCACATAAGAAAACAGGTCCTTGTCCTTGCCGTTTTCCTCCATATGCTCAAGTAAGGAGTCGAACAAGCCGTTGATTGCAGTTGAAACTTCGGCAGTTAGTTGCGTTTTAGTGGTCTTATTGGCTGTTGATCCTTGCTGCTGAGACTTAGTCGCGTTCCAGATGCAGTAGAACTCGCGTTGGCAATTCTCCTTGATCTTGGCGATGATCTCTGCGACGTAGCTGGTGTACAAGACAGGGGCTGGCTCGCCGAGCTGTACAGTCATGTGGCGCTGGTGGGTTTGCTGGTCGAGAGCTAAGGCAGCGAAAACCTCGAGAGAAGAACTGGAGGCATTAGAGCGGGGATAATGTTCTTCTACTGTATGGTTCTGGTATTTGGTAACCTGAATTTGATCCTAAGGGTTCTCTTCTTGTTTTCCCTTAGGATCAAATTCAGGCTATACCAAAAATACCAGAACCATTCATCTACTTCTTCTACAACTTGTATTATATGTATGTTGATGTAAGTACAAGATCAAGATCATGATGCTGCTCCTGGCGAGCAACCTTCCAGCATGATAAGTACAAGATCAAGATCATGATGCTGCTCCTGGCGAGCATTTAAGTAGTGACGCTTCTACAAAAACTTCTCTACAAAATTCATGATCTTCATAATCACTCCTCCTTTGTTTGCGCTTGCGTCTTTGAACAGAATTACGCCCTTCGACTCCAGCACCAGTCGTGCCTGGTCGGTGAAGAACAGGTTTGCACCTTCCACCACGTATTTCCACTGAGTCGTTGCCACTCCGGTTTCCGGATCCGGAATGTTGATCAGCTGCTTCACATTGCGTAGATTAGAGAGAAGATTCCCAAGAGGGAGACGAGGACCTGGCATAGGGAGACGACCTAGTACGTAGAGAAACGACAACGAAAGAATGTGAATGACCTGCTTATGAATAAAATGATAATCTTAATGATGTTTTTGAACCGAAGAAGACCAAGTCGTTACACCTTTTTTAACAAAAAACTATATCAGTGAGCCAGAGCACTAGCCTAGGTCGCAGAGTTTGAGTCACCAAGTGACAGGTCGAGACAGTTGAGAGGTCATTTTTGTTTTGTTCCTTTCTTAATGAATAATGGGAAAGGGAAATGTTCTTGAATTAGAATTACATTCAGCCTTAACTAGGGTCACTTGTGCCGGGCGACCCCCACACGGGACGAAAAGATCCGCCTTCGCAAAGCGTGTAAGGGGGAATGCATTGCGCAAGTCGGTTCCGTTCCTCCAAGTACTCCCGTCTGGCAGAGTGATATTCGAATCTGCACAACTGACCACAAAAGCTGCTTCGCAGGAAAGAAATTGTTTCTGAAAATGAACAATTGGTTTCCTCGCCTTCGCTAAGCGGCTTAGCTCAGTGCGGTTCAATCCATTCGGATCGTAGGCGACACCAGAGCCATCGACAATGGCGGTCGTCTTGTCCTTGGAGATGAGGATTTCGTTGCTGCCTAAGTCACCATCGGGGCCACCAGTTTGAAACTTGCTGATGCTGCTCTCGTCAATGTTCAATTCCTTCAATAGGCAGAGCACGTATTCATGCACGCCAGTAGTGGTTATGCCATAGAGATCATGTGGTACGCCGCCTAACTCTTGCGTTTTGCCAGTAGTCAGTGCGAAAGCGTAGGGGTAGCCGCGCTCCTTAGCGCGGATGGCACCAAGGTCCATGAAGTCGGCAGTGTTTTCGTCGGGACCAAAAAAGAGGGTCTCCACGGATGGGAGGTGGGAAAAGATACCTGACGAGTGAAGATTTCTGAGGAGAGAGCTAGACCTTTCGGTAGTTTAGAGTCACTATAATTGGTTATCTTACCTCCAGATGACTTGAAGTTGTAGTTCGGTTCCTGAACAATTTGAAAGATATAAATATCATCTTCGGATCAGATTCAAATCTCTCCCACGATCGCATTCAAATCAGTCTCATGCGTCAAATAACTAAGCAGGTACTACAGGTAGTGTAAGTGTTACAGGTAGTGTTCTTGTTGTACTACTACAGGTAGTGTAAGACATACCATCTTTTTCATTCTTTCCCGGCTTTATCTGCATGATATCCAACAGCGAGTCTATGTATTTCAAAAACGCGTCTTGCGCCGAATCCTGACTCGTCGAGTCCAATAGAATTGTTCCTTTAGAACCTCCTTCCGGAATGTCCTTGTTTTTGCGTTGTTGCGTATACGCTAAATTGTAAGTCTCATCAAACAGAGCAGCTGCATTGCGCGTGTAAATCTCCCTAGTGGCGGACTTGACACACCTGATCCCGCCACGCGCGATTTCTCGGAAGCGGACGTGCCAACCAAAGAAGTCACGACCAACGATGAGATAGATGCCGTAGGGGACCTTTTGTGGATGGTTGCGTGGATTGGGAAACTTAAGATTCAAAAGCAAAAAGCCGAAAGGCAACTCCAACTGCATCTGCGAGAAGTTGTTAAGTAGTTGTAGTAACAAATTGGCTACTTGCGATAACAGAAAACGTCGAATTCTATTGCTGATTTTGACATTGACGAATTATTCGTCAATAGGAATACTTACTTACCATTTAAGAATACTAGAAGGAGAATAGCAAAAAATCCAAGCATCACGATGCCAAAAAAGTACCTCCGGATAAAGTTCTTCCCTTCCTCGCACTAAGCAACTCGGTTCAAACCGGAAGGCCATTGCTCCAGGGATTCCGCTTTTCTTGAAGAAGTTTGAGCACCGCAACGCTTCGTTGAACAAGAACATAGTTCTCAAGATCAACCGCTCGTCTTCCTGCAGCATCCCGCACTTCTCTTCGAACAATTTCTCATTGAAAAAGGGCTTCTTCATGCCCTGCGCGATCTGCTTGAAATCGTCAAACAGCACCGCGATGGTCTTGATTAGAGGCGTCGGGAATGCACCATCTCACAGGAGATCACCATCTGGTTCCCTCTTGCTCTTCTATTTCCTTCCCTTCTCTTTGCCCCGGTGACTTTGGAGATGCATTTCCTACACTCATAACTTGATGTGCTTCACCGCAGTGACGTAGATGCGCTCAGGAGTGAGGATTTCCAGCAACGCTTGCTTGTAGAGCTCGTCGAACTTGGTTTGCGATTCGACGTGGAAGGAAAGCTGGTTGCGCAGCTCCAAGAAAGCAGGATAGATCCTCTCCTTCGGAACCATGATGTGCGCGAATTTGACCAAAGAAATCACGTACGTCATCGATTCGGGGTTCAGGGTGCTGTTTGTAGTAGTAGATCATCATGTTGTAAATGTAGTTCTTGATCATGTTGAACAAAATAAGGATTCTTTGATACACTGCGGTCGTCAAATAGCTGTGGTCAAACTTAACTTTGACTAACTCGTCTAACATCCCAATTATAGTGGTCCCGTCGATAAATACAACTCTACTTAAATTAACAGGTATATATACAAGAGGTAAACCAAAACTCTATAGGCTTTTCCTATAGGAGCCCTATAGGAGGCTCTATAGGAAACGCCTATTAGGGCCTTCGTATAGGGACCCCCTATAGGACCCCGTATTTGAGACCGCGGACCTATAGGAAGCCCTATAGGCATCTCTATAGGCAGCCCTATAGGGAACCCTATAGGAAACCCTATAGGAAGCCCTATAGGCATCTCTATAGGCAGCCCTATAGGGAACCCTATAGGAAACCCTATAGGCAGCCCTATAGGGAACACTGCAAGGAGCACTATACTTCCTATAGGGGGCCCTATAGGAAGCCCTATAGGCGACCCCTTAGGAGGCCCTATAGCAGCCCTTATAGGAATACCAAAGAAACCCAGTAAACAAAGAGAACCAACTGAGAGAACCAACTGAGAGAACCAACTGAGAGAACCAACTGAGAGAACCAACTGAGAGAACCAACAAAGAGAACCAACAAAGAGAACCAACAAAAGGAACCAACAAAGAGAACCAACAGAGGGAACCAACAAAGAGAACCAAAACAAAGAAAGCGAGAAAACCAATGAGAACGGAAGCAAAACACAAACAAAAAAAGGACAGCTAGAGGACATAAACAAAGGGGGGCAAAAGCCTAACCCCTGCGACATGCTCCTCCGTTCCCATTTTCGTGTCGTGGCTATTATATCCATCAACGGGAACACAGCCCACAGAGGTGCGAAGCGGTGCGCCTCTCTGCTCTTTGCTCCGCCGAGGGAGCTGCAAGCCAAACACTAGCAACCCAATCACAGAAAGGCGAGGCGACATGAATCAACGACGGACAAGATTTCTGAAGTGCAGAAGTAGCTGCAATGGGCCGAGTGCAGTGCCCCTGCCCCTCTTCATGCTGGAAACTGTGGCAGACTTTCTACCTTTTATCCTTCTACCAGTGGCCCCCATGAATTACGAAAGCCAAAAAGCTCTCAGTCTCGGCCGTTGAAGATGTTTCCTCAACAAAAGAGCCGCCGACGCGTTCCAGGTCTTCAACAACTAAGCAAGAGGCGCCTAGCCTTTCCATTTATTTAAAAGAGGCGCGGCACGCTTTCAAGCGACTCGCAGTCTGACCGATTGGCGGGCACTACTGGCGCGCCAGCTGCCCTCCCGCTCTCTTCTGTGATGGTGATGGACCGACTTGAGATCTCACAGGGAACAGCTTGCGACGCAGAGCGCCGCTAGTTAGTTGTAAGGGGTCGAACAACATAAGAGAAAAAAACGGCTTTACTTACAAGACACAGAGGCGAAACGCATACCGTCACACACAGATCAGCCGCGCGCGATGATTGCCATGATTGCCACGCATGGAATTCCTGAAGGCTTACGCCATTGCCCTTGTTCGGTTAGAAATGTAAACGCCTGCGCGCTTCGCGGTCAATGTTCTTCAGTGTGTGCAGCTCTATGCCTTTCCTTCAACTTGTGAAGAAAACACAGGGGACAACGATAAGAAAGCCGAGGCACACAGTTCCAAAACCGTGCAAAATGGCGGTAAGAATGCGCCCGAGTTCTCAAATATTGCCAGAGCTACGATAGACAGAAAGCCACGCGGAGCCCAGTGCGCTGCACTTACAAAGACCAGAAGCAATAGCGTGAACACTCGAACAACCCCAAAGGAACTCAGCCGCATCTACCACGTGAGAAATCAGAGATAGGGAAAGGCGCGAAACACTCGGGGGAATCTCTCAGAAGAACGCCACTACCCTTGTGGAGAAACATAGCCGCAACGTCATCGCTTGCATCACTTAACTCCGTGGCGAGCACTCTGCTGCCCGAAATCTTCTAGCTAACACAGATAGCACCACCATGAGCGCCATGCAGTGGGGCTCTGTTTCATGCATCACCAAGATAACACAATACCGCCCGCACTTGTTAACTTACCCTGTTAAAAAATCGAAGCAATATCTGAGGCGCCATCCCTCCGCTGATAGTAAGAAAATCGACCGACAGCCCCCAGAAGCGCGAAGCAGTGGTAGCGAGATAAAAGGGACGCAAGTGGACGCCTTTCGCCCTTCTATCTTTTGCCTCTTCTTCACTCTCACCGAGATCGGCGCCCGCTGTTCTTATTAATTTAACCGGACTCGCCGAGGATGGATTATACACCAGGGAGAGGAGCCCACCTGCCTGCCTTCCTCATTATCATGCCCCGCCTCCAGGCCTATTATTGCCAGGAAGCTCCCGAAGGTTGCCGCGCTGCAATGGAATAGAATGAACACCACAGAGGCAGACGATACACGCCACGCCTAAGAAAATAGGGGGACAACAATCGAACGGAACCGACTGCCCTTCCGAGATCGTGCGAAGAACTAGAAGCAAAATTTTGCCAGTCTTTCAAAGCAAACGCCAACGGCGCCAAGCTTCGGGCGGTTTCTTTCAGTATAATTGGAGAGCAGGCAGCGCTTGGGCGTGTAACTTAGTGTCAAAGACTCGCCTTTCCCTTTTGACGGAATGGGAACTAATCAGCGCAGAGAGCCCCAGCGACTGCATTCCCCCCAAATAATTTATTCGGGCACTTCTTCCATTTTTCTACCTAAGCAAACGAATGCAGCCACGCTTTTACTTCCTTTGCTCGTTTGTGCCAAAACCTCCAAAAAAAGTTTTTTTTTGCTAATTTAGACACTATCACAACACACAAGACAGACGCGGCGCGCCTTGGAGATGAGCTCCTCAGCTACTTAGTAGATAGCTGCAGGCACACAATTGCCAGCGAAAGCGAATGAGGAGCCTACCACAAAGGGCGAGAATTGCGCGCGGCCAGTCTTCCTCCCTCTCTGCCTCGAGAACGTCTCCGCGTGGAAATAAAAGCGCAGCAGCCTCGTCGCTCTCTGCTTCCTCATCATGGCCCACCGAAATCGCGGAGGTCGGCGCCGCCCCTCCTTCCGAGCACTGCGCGCGCCGCTCTGCACACCGCAAGCGACCGCCTCGAAGATAAGACCCGACCAGTGTCCTCCCGTTTTTTGCCGCGCGTTCGATACGGGTAAGCTCGCGAAATGTGTGCTGCAAAGCCATCCGACAAAGGAGCCAGGCCAATGGACTCCCTGGAACACTCAGGAGCCTTGGCACTTTACCAGCCGCGCCTTTTTTCACTGTCCACCGCTTTGCTTCCTTTTATCTGTCGCCGCGCGTGTTGTATCACTAAAACGCGCGAAATGTGGTATAACTTGGAGAAAAGTGCGGAGAGGTTCACCGAAGTGCCAGGCCCTAAGGACTCAGGAAGCCCAAAAATTCGACAAAGAGCGGCGCGCGAGCCTGAGCCCGTCGGCGTGTAACCGTCGCAAAACTCTAGCGCCCATAATTAAACAAAGAGCACGGGCCCAGTTCTTCGCAGTGATGTAGGATATGCCCCGCAGTGCACGCATGTCGTCGACCATTTCTAACGCTATCCGCCGGCCCCTTGCGTGCTTGATGAGCTTCGTCAAGAGAGCCTGCGGAATCAGCTGCGCAAACGTTAGGCGCCTAACATTGTCGACCGTCCACTTCTGCGCGTTCACAGTGTCTCGGAGTTGGCTCGGCGGTGCGAGGTTCGGCGTAAAGACAACATCCCAAGTGCCGCCAGAAGTTTGCAAAAACTCCTGAAGGAGATTGCGACTAGTTGGAAGTCGAAGGCCGGACTTCTTTCGTGTGTCTTCTACTCTTTTGGCACAGAATGCGACGAACGAGGCGCCCGCAGTCTGTGAAAGAAGAGGGGAGAGATGCACCCGCTGCCGGAGGCGACACTTGCGCAAAAGTGTATGAAGTTGCTGCGTCGCGTGCCCTGCTAATTCGTCAGAAAGCTCCAACCGCGTAGACATCTCGCACAGTGATAACACACTGGAGCCGGGCCACGTCCTCCTTATTATGTCAAGGACGTTCAATCTGCTGCCAAAAACTTGGAGGGCTGCGCCCATGGTCGAGGATATCTCTCCGACCACATCAGCGAAGATTACGAAGATAGTAAGCCGCGCCTCTTTCGGTGGCTTCTCTATCTTTTTGCTGTGTTGTTTTGCCAAGTTGAGCAACTTCATCCCGCGCGCCTTCGCTCTCTTTTTTGTCTCTGTTGTTAGTGTCACTACTTTCCCCGCATGCCTTCGCCTGTTCTTGAAAGCATGACCAGAAGAAGACGCGCGCCCATGCTGCTGCTTCTTCGTCCTTCATTTGCTTCGGAGGTGTCCGCGCGTCGACCTTTTTCTGAAAAACTACCCCCAAACGGGCGCCCCTTCGAGGCTGAAAACGGGAGACGCCCATCTTTGATACTAACAAGCTAAACCGGAAACAACAGAGAAAGAGATAGACAAAGAAAGAGACAAAGGGGCTATAAATATAACCCAAACACAATAGAGAGGCGACACAATAGAGCTCAGCAGCATCAAGTGGGCGCCGTAGATGTGAACGAACAGAGAAAACTGTGGAAGAAGCTAAGAAACTTAAGACAGAGAACCGCCTGGGAAAATCAAAAGAAAACAACGGCGAGGGCTGAGAGTTCAAAAGAGTCCAACCGAATGGGAGAAGAGAACAAAACAACCACAGCAAAAGAAAACTCTCCTGAAGACGAGGGAAGAGAGATGACGCGAGAGGTTGAGAACTTCTCTTATCTGCATGACGAGCGCGATACTCTTGGGAACTTTTAATGAACCTAGAGGCGGGGCGAAGAGAGAGGGCAGAACGGTTTTGAGAGATCAGCGAGGAGCCTGGATTTGAATTCCGTGGCGAGCCCTTTCTTGCTTTGTTCCGGAAAGGATTGCGAAGACCCGAGCAGAATGAAGAGAAGCGAATTTCTGAGAGAGATGCCCACTAATTTCGAAAGTGGACACTCTTGGCATACCATACGGTGAGAATAAACCCGCAAGGTCTTCAGTTTGCTACCACTGAGAGGAGAGACGTGTTTTGTCCTAGTTGCGATAAAATGTCTGCCCTCTTTATAGTTTGGACAAGCTGAGGAGGAGGGTCCCCCCTCTGGGGTACCCTCCGCGAAAGCTTGTACTATTAAAAATCCCCAAACGCTCCTCCCCTTTTATGTGAACACTAAAGGACGTGTAAGACGCGTTTAATGCGAATGCTAAAAGACCCCCTTCCCCTACAATTTGTCGACTCGGTAGTGGTCGCATCGATAAATAGGTCGTCACATTTAACAATTATAACATCAATCTCAATGTACCCATTCAACACGCAGTTCCACACTAGTCCACTCCTTCCTGGCGTCTTTTAGACCTTATCCATATTCATCTTAAAGTGCATCTTTGACCACGTGAATTCCCCTTGAAATCGTGCCCAAAGAAAGATGCCTCTTAAGAAGTTAAGAAGAGAAACAACGGCAAGCCTTAAGTCATTTTCAAGTGCGTAATGAACCGCATCACCTGCGCAGCCCGTTGGACCTCTTCTTCGGTCGTGTCTTGAAAGAAGAACGTGTACGTGACTACTCCATTCGCAAACGACTCGATGTAAAACCGCTTCGGCGCCATGTTGAGAAAGTTAAAACACTGCGCAATCTCGTTCATGTAGAGGGTCCTGCGATGACCATATGTCCCAAACTGGATCACATGTCCATTGCCGTCGCCTGGATAGAGTTCACCACCGCGCACTGTGATCACTGCGTTCTTGCTGGAGACCACACGGTCGAGGAGAAGTTGGTAGCGCGACAGAGCGTATTCGGATTTGGATGGAGGTTAGAAGGGGACCAGGAAAGTTTCTCACATGGACGAAGATGTCATCATTGCTGCTCGCGTACATCTTTTAATAACATCTTTTAACAACGCGAGCGGCATTGTGGTCACGAAGAGGTTTGCAAGCATTTAACTATCTCAGTAAAAATTTTTGACGATGTAAATCTACTCGGCTGTCTGCCTAAGATTTCCCTGACGCCTTCTAACTGTCACTAAACCTACACGATTCATTGGGACTGCAGTGCCAGTGGTGAAGTCAGTGACTTTGTTGCTGTACAGAAAGAACTGTAGAACATGTAGGTGTACATCATGAGCAGTAACATCATCATACAGAAAGAACTGCAGATGTAGGTGTACATCTATGTACATCATGAGCAGTAACATCATCAACATAACTCAAAAATCTTGGTGTCGCTACCATCTGCAAGTCACTTTCGTCCTCCGCGACGCGCTTATCGAACGTAAACCTGTCTACGATGAAGATGCGCAAAATGTTATCTCGGTTTTTGCTCTCCCTAAACGCGGGTTGGTCGGATTTCATGTACATCACCGAAAACCCCTGTAATTCGTCTCCCGCAGGCTCAACCATATTCTCCAAGTTCCCGTACTTGCCGAAAACGCCTCCTCCTGCTGCGCCAGGAGGCTGGCTGCAGACTTGGGCCGGGAGAAATTCTTCTTGGTGGCAATTAGAGAAGGAGGAGGAGGAGAAGGAGGAGAAAGGGGAGGAGGAGGAGGAGGAGGTTTGGGGAATGAAGATCTGATTTGGGGAATGAAGAATGCCTCAAAGTGGAAGCCGATTGTTGGTGTTGTAAATGACCAAACATCTCGGAGAGCTAGAGCAAGTAGACAAGTTTATGCGTATTGTACTAGTAGTACACACAGGAAGATCTCTCATTTCATGAAGATGAACACCATCAAGAAAACAGCAATAAAAAGCCATAATGCCTCTCGAACTGATGCTTGCTTCCTTTCCAAAGATCGCCCTCGTCTTCCGGTCTTTCATCAACACGTAGTCGCTGACTTGTTCGTAGATGTTTCCTTGCGAGTCAGGAGGACCTAAGGAGGCCAAGTAAAACGCTTTGTCCACGTTTTCGAGTGCGAAGGTTACATCTTCACTCCCAGCCGCTTTGGAGACTTTCTTCGCGCTCAACAAGACCGCAATGTGGTTCGCAATTTGACTGGCCGTAAAATGCGCAAAGTACATAGGATGCAGCCCCAGCGTTAGAGTTAGGCTTTTCCTGTTCGTTTGCCCCGTTCGTTAGGTCTTTGTCTTTCCTCGTAGTTGAGAAAGGCAAAACGAACGCTATAACAGGGGACACAACACCTTTATTAAGTCTAACCTACAACCCGTAACAATGTGTTGAAAAAGAAATCCACTTCCTGCGCTACGATGAAGTAGGAGAAGTCCGACATTCTGGAACAGAGATGGAACACCTTTGATTTCAGAGTGTCAATGTTGCCCATGGCAGGGATCATCACGCCGGAACGTTTCTTAGAGCTGCTCACCCTATCAATCCATCACGACCATCTTGAATGAATGAATGAATGTGCCTAGCGTGAGGTGGTGCAGTGAGTTTTTTATGTCGCTCGCCGACTATGTCCTGTTCATCTTGAAGTCGTTTCCTTTCCCCTTATCTAACTATGGACCTGACCAGTCCTGCAAGCAAGATGAAGATGTTTCCCCTTACGGACCCAAGCGGACAAGGCCCACACGCAAGGTGTAGATGTACTATCTGGAGATGGTGATGGATTTTTAGGGCAACAAGCCTTAAGCTTAGGAGGTTGAAAGACCTCAGGCTGCTCCATGTCCTTGCACTCTGATTCGTACAGGTAAGACCGAATTTCGCAATTCTTCTCTGCTTCGTGGATAGGCAGCATTCCAAAGCGGTCCGGCTTGCTCTTGGCACCATAGGTTTCAACGAGGAGTTTGCACACTTCGAGGCCTTTGAAGATGATGGTGCAATTGGCGATGGTGGAAAGTGGAAGAGGAGGAGGAGGAGAGATTTTTAGGTCGACCCCAAGTAGTTCTTATGAAAACAAAAGGAGCGAACCGTGTTGGCGTAGTAAGTTGGAAGAGAATCTGTAAACGAAATCTTCTTTAAACCTTCATCAAAGACAGACGAAAATGGATTCAACTACCACTACATAGCTAACACATAGAAATCTATTTACGATGCGAACAACATGAACTAAAAAATTTAAATTACTCCCTCCCGCCGCCGCAAAGTGCAACGGCGTGCGTTTGTCAAGCGGCGTTCGCATTGAGGCATTGGCACCACTTTCCAACAAGTCTCTTACACGATTCACATTTCCCGCAAAGCAGGCAGAGGTGAGAGGACCGAAAAACCTCTGTGCCTCCAAGTCCTCATGGTCCTGGCCCTCATCGTCGGAGACAGAAGAAGACGGGTTCGCGTTGTTCACGCTGTTGTGGTTGCATACGCATAGGTGGATCATAAAAATAATGTTTTTAACCGAAGAAGACCAAGATCTTTATATCTCTTCAAACAAAGAAACATATCTTTTGAGCCCGACAAAAAATAATAAAGCAAGTATACGGATTCGAGTTCGACGACGTCTTCCCAGTGCCTTTGCCCTTAGAGAGGCTGTGCGGCTGTTGATGGAGCGGACTGACAACGTTCATTATTTTGATTGGGGATGAGTTTGATGATGTCACACTGTTGACAACTCCTGTTCCCCCTTGTGTAGTGCTATTGTTGGTACTACTCGTAATCGGAGAGGAGCGGCCCTCCGACTCACTGCGACTGTTTTCGGATGTGATACCACCAGAGGAGAGGTAATATCCTGGTACGGCGTTGAGGTTTTCTCCACTCTGCGTAGCAAAAATTAGAGGAAGATAAACAAAATTGGAATAGAAGAAATAGCACCATCATGTTAACTACACGAAACAGAAACTTATTAACGATTTAAAAAGTACAATACAATACAATGCAATACATATCGGTGGAGCACGCCTAACTAGGAAACAAAAATACAAAAGAATCGAGTAATCCCTTTATTGAAAAAAGAAATACAATACAATAAATCTATCTGCTCGCAGCAAGTAGTACAGAACACTAAACTGAAACAACATTCAAATCTATCTCGCAGCAAGTAGTACAGAACACTAAATTGAAACACTAAATTGGAACTCATAGAGCCAACTTCTGCTTGCTTGTGGACCGGCGTGCGTTGGGATGCACTTCGACGGATGGGAGCTCCGCCAAACCGTCTACACTGGAAGATACTTCTAATTTCAATATTGAGGCTGAACTTGTTGATGGCGCAGGCGTTGACGTACTCCCTCTTCTATTGGGTAATCCGGGTGCGGCCATGGTGAATCAAGGAAAAATATTCTCAAACTGAATCAATACAGTACCCTTTCGACTTCATGGTACGGGTACTTATACTGAAGTATTTCAGGTGGGCAGAAGAAGTCGTTGGTAATGAGTGATGCAGGAGACGGAGAGATCGATCGATCAATGATCTCGTACTATGCCGCTGGTGGAAAGCAGCGAAGAAGATAGTCAAGTATTGACAGTTGAGCGTCGATATATTATTTTTTGATGTTGTAGTAAGTTGTTCCAAGTACAAAGTAAGAAGGTGGAGAAATATGTGTCTGTTTTGGCTTCTTATGGAATGACGAATGCACAAATTAGACAACTATATTTCCCAACAAGAAACCCCACGGAAAGTACCACGAGGAACAATAATCGTCCAGAAATATCTTTACAACAAGGTGAACTCCGTGTTTGATACTTAAACACTTTAGCGTTTGTCTTTGACTTGTGGTGACTAGGATGTACTTTATGGACTTTCTGAAACCCTGCAAATAACTCGTAGGAGATCACAAAGTGAAGATTCTAAACCGGCTTGTATTGTTCGTATCTTTATGTTGGATTTAGTTATGAATGTACCAGCTCCAATCGTGAACGATTGTTGCCTAATACACTGTCCTATTGTTGATTTCTATTGTTTCGGGGAATTGAGGGGACAAAATCCATCAACAAATAGAAGCT